AAATCAATTGATTGTAGCCGAATGGTAAGTTAATTCTCTGTCTTTGTTCATTTTGTACATTGATAAAGAATTATTGAATGTTATCATTTTTCAGCTGCAAAACCGTCGTATCTAGATGCATAGAGTTATTCGTGCGCCATGCTTGCTTATTAAGACCTCTGACTGATTTTGGGAAAGCAAAACTTTTAGTAGATTTCGCTCAGGTATATGTCGCTTTCGCATAAAAATAAATTTAGATTGAATAGATAGATGTAACAGATCAAAATTTTAGATGGAGGTAGCAGTGGCACCGTTGTGTCGCGGTGGCCAGATGAGTCTACTCGAGCAACAGCAATATAGAACTTTACGGGCGCTAAAAACTTTACTTCCCCTCAGTCCCGAGGAGATGGTGGATAGAATTTTGGAAGGGCAAGGAGAGAGCAGCGTGCCGCCGTCTCTTATTCTCCTGCATCTATTTTCTAAGCAATAAGATTATTCTGTTTAAAATGTGAGCAAAGTGTTGTAACTGGTGGTGAAGCCAGCCAAGTAATCGATTCTCCAACCACTGGTCAGCAGACAAATATTACGCTCACAAATCTTCTGCATTATCTCGCGAATCAGACGAATCGCGTGATAGCGAATCTAGCGGGAGGATTATCCTCCGAAGGGAGTGCTATTATTACCATGGCACTCAAAGAGACAGATACATTAACGAAGAGTGTACTCACGCCGCTGTTAACTTCTATTAGCGATGCAATCGAAAGCATCATTTTAACGATGCATGATGATCCTGAATTCAGAGAGTAAGTTATTCCTGTTCCTTTATTTTCCACTTGTGCCTGTGTGCGTTTGATCTGATGTTGTATAATATTAATACAATTTTTTAGGACAAGTAGCCCTTTAGGAAAAGAAATCGGCTGTTCGCTTTACATGCGAGAATTACAAGGTTTCATTTTACGATCTGTAAATACATTCTTATTACCATACAAAAATCAATTGATTGTAGCCGAATGGTAAGTTAATTCTCTGTCTTTGTTCATTTTGTACATTGATAAAGAATTATTGAATGTTATCATTTTTCAGCTGCAAAACCGTCGTATCTAGATGCATAGAGTTATTCGTGCGCCATGCTTGCTTATTAAGACCTCTGACTGATTTTGGGAAAGCAAAACTTTTAGTAGATTTCGCTCAGGTATATGTCGCTTTCGCATAAAAATAAATTTAGATTGAATAGATAGATGTAACAGATCAAAATTTTAGATGGAGGTAGCAGTGGCACCGTTGTGTCGCGGTGGCCAGATGAGTCTACTCGAGCAACAGCAATATAGAACTTTACGGGCGCTAAAAACTTTACTTCCCCTCAGTCCCGAGGAGATGGTGGATAGAATTTTGGAAGGGCAAGGAGAGAGCAGCGTGCCGCCGTCTCTTATTCTCCTGCATCTATTTTCTGCTGCACCGCCCGAACTAGCGTCACCGCATCAGGTGAATGGATCTCTTAAATATACCAATTTATTTTATAGACATGTTCAGCATTAACAAAATAATAATCGTTTTGTTTGTTTCATAGAGCGCCGGATGGTCTATAGGCCGATTATCTCAATGGATGGACAATCATCCGAGCGAAAGAGATAGATTAACTCTATGTAGTGGACCGTTGGAACGTTATCAATTAACAGTTCGACAACAAAATCTTCCATCATTCCATCCTTTATTTCCACAAATGATGAAATTGGCTAACTTGAGAGAACATTCAAGTCAATAAAAGGTATGTCACATATATACTAGCGAAATATATATATATTTGTTCTCTGTATAAAAAATATTTTTTTAAACTTGTACAAACCATATAAATTAGGTTTAGTTACTAAGTTACTAGTTTACTTCTTAATATTCATTATATACATTACAATATAAGCTTATTTGTACTATGCAATAATATAATGTTCACAAGTGTAAAATTGTTTAGTAAAAAAAAAAGGAGATATTGAAAAAATACTATATTCTTATGTGTTATAGATATTCCATAATTTTTGAATGTATGTTGTTTTGCATAAGTATAACCCCACCATTAGTGTAATGCTTAACGATATAGTCCAATTAGATTTATTTTTCTTGGGGCCAATATAAATTGCAGGTACACCGATATCATCTTCTTTATCAATCTACAAGTAAAAATATAAATAAGCAGTAAATAATGATAAAATTTTATAAAATTTAGATGTTAGCTTTACATTATACCTTTCGCGCTAGTTTCCTAATGCGATTTATTTCATTCTTTAAACTTTTTAGATTCTTTTGCGTTTCTCTCAGTTCTTCTTCATATTTTAATGTTTCTAAAGGAGAAATATGGATATTTTCGCTTGCAGCTTTCATCAAATTATTTTTTATATATTCAAAACTAGCACCTATTACAGCAATCTTCTCCTTTGCATTTGCCAGTGATATTATATTATTATAAATACTGCAATTATGTATACATGTACATTTATTATTGTGCATATTCTAAACAAAATGTTATGAGAAAATATAAAACATACGGATTTATATCGTTCGTATCGTTTATACTGCCAAGGACGCCCACATTCCACTTTTTAAGATGAAATTTTTCCAAACCTTCTAAGAATTGTTTTCTATGAACAGTGATATCGATTCCTAAATCGCAAATTTCATCCTCTGTCAATTGCAAAAAAGTTTTAAGATTTATTCCTAGAAACAGAATCTTATAACTTTCCAAATCCATTCCCGACAGCATGTTTAATATATAATCATCTAAAACTTCTTTTTTTCTAGGGTACAAATCTGGTAATAAATCTTTCCAAGTTCTTCTATCAAACACTTCGCAAGTGATTGGTTTCTCTTCTTCGTCGTTAGCCAACAGAGCAGATATCTAGAAAGTAAAAACAAAAAATTAGTTGTTAGCGATAAAGCAAAGATATTTTGATTACCTCTGCAAATCCTTTTTTATCCGCGATATCCTTGGCAGATAAAAAATCTTTGTCTACCAATGAAATATCTGCATTGTGTTCCAAAAGAATTCTGATGATATCAGGCTTATTAGATATAGCAGCATAGCTCAAGGCCTATAACCGAATCAACGATTTATGGAAGAAATATTTCGATAATTAGTTACTGATTGAAACTTACAGTTTTTCCATCGCTATCACAGACATTAATATCATTTACATGTTTTATAAGTTCGGCGACAAATTCCGCATTTTGCGACATACAAGCATACATTAGAGCTGTTTCTCTGTAAAATTAATTATTTGTATTAATGAAACATAGCTAGATAATAATAGTACAATAATTTCAATATACATCATAAAAAAATCACAGTTCTCTTATATATAAATTAATTATATCTCCTAATTTTACCTCCGTTTATTTGTAAGATTTGCATCAGCTTTTGCTTGCATTAAAAATTCAAGGCATTTCAGAGATCTTTCAGTTGTTCCCTTTATGGAGCTACACAGTGCCATAAGAGGTGTAAAGCCCTCTGTAAAATACGGAAATTATAGAAAATTTACATAAATTTACATAAAACTTGAAAAAAATGGATGAAACAACAATATCAATGCATACCTTTATCCTTATTTGGATCTGCATCAAGTGCCAGCAGATATTCTATTATCTCTACTTGCACAGATGAAGTGGCATACAACAATAAAGTCCATCCAGTATGCAGAGGTTTATTAATATCATACACTGCATCTAAAGACACACATAAATATTTGATATAGTAATCTTCATTCGATAATTGAATTTGATTCAATAATTGATTTTATTTTACATATAATCAATGATTAAAATTTAAAGTGTAAAAAAAAGTATATTCTAAGTGATGTGATAATACTTACTTTCAAGATGATTCTGTATCGCATTCAAGTCTCCACTTATACATGCTTTCATCATATAATCTTCATGAGCACGCTTTTCATTGGAAAGTACATCATCAAAATCTTTAAAATCGTTCTCTGTCTTCCTTGAATTGTTCCTTGAAGAATAATTGCACTCTTTGATGTCCTAGCAAAAGAATGAAGTGAGAGAAAGAGAGAAAAGTACTGACATAGCTTCACAAAAACTATATCTATCAATCATACCTCCTCGAAAAAATAGTCATCTTCGTCATCGCCATCGTCCTCATCGGACATACCAGCAGGTCTCAGACATTTATATTTTGACATTGTTGATGCGATGAGACTATTTCGTATAAAGTAAAAGCGTTCTCCGTAGAAAGAAGCCGAAAAAGTATCGAGAATTATTCAGGGTCATTGGCGGCGACAAGCCGGTAGCCGGTTTGTCACGCGTGCGCTGTTCGAATGTTTACCTGACCTGACCTGACCTGACCTGATCTAACCCTGATCTGTGTTTGTTTACGGATCACGAGAGAGTGTCAAGTAAAATAGACGCTAAAAAAGTACGTAAGATTTAAAAATATTATTTGTGAATTTTTACATTATTCCACGTTCCCTCAGCGTTTTGACGTTTCTCGAGAGTTTCCGATCGCGTGCCAAAAAGCACGCGCAACCGCGAGAGAGGCTGTTAGAAGCGACGAGTGGCGCAACAACAATCGAGAGAACGTTGATAGTTAGCCAAGAGACATATTTCAATGTAATCGCGACGATTATTTCGGGATCCTAATACAAATTCGTAACAATCCCGTTGTTTGTTTTTCGTTGTTTATTTATCCTTGGTTCGCTCGTCTATAAAAGCACTCCGCTCAATAATTTTGTCTATCAGTATAGGTACATACAGTCGGCTCTTTGGAATCTACGTATCTACCCGAAACGAGTTTCGTCGACAATTTCCTCCCGTCTCCGAAAGCAAGGAGACAAGACGGCGGAAAAAAAGGAAATAAAACAAAGGGCAAATTAACGTGGAACAAAGCCAGAAATTGGAAAGAATAGAAGAAATCTAAATACGAATACATTTGATGTTTTTCTGAACGTATATAGTGGTTCATAATCGATAAACACGTAGCAACAGCAAAACGAGTTAAGAGAAACCCAATTGTATAAAATTTATCAATCAATATATCCCATAATCTAAACCAGAAGACAATAATATGTGTTTAATAATTTCGATACAATAGAATCAAGCAGGTGGCACAAATTTGCGATTAAATCTTCTATATCATACGCAACAAGCAGTGAGTATCCTTTACATTAATATAATTATATATTTTAACGATGCAATTATAATAAATATTATATTGTGTAATTATGCAATTTGAAAAATATAATTGAGCAATTTGCAAGTATACACAATCGACGAATATTCGAAAGTTTGCCTCTTTTCAAATTGGTGATACGCAGGAAGAGAGTCTATATATATAGAAAAATGTACACGCGACCGGTTGTATATAGCGAGAATTAAGAATACCTTGAAAATGCGACAGTTTAACTAAAATTATGCTGATGTCGCAAGATATATCTAGTTCGACTTGGCGTAGATTCCACGACGTAGCGTATACAATTGTGATAATATTGCGCTTCAATGTAGATGCATCACGGCGTGCTAGCGGCGTTCGATTTCGATCACACCATCTGCGACGACAACACCGATGTGGTGGCGCGAAGATTGCTACCAGACGAGAGGATACCCCAGGATGTGAAGGGCCTTTATAAGTCCAGCGGCTGGATCGCGTACATGAGCAGGATCTTAGAGCTCCTGCACGAGAATGCGATCGATGCCCGGCAAATCGAGAACGCCATCGTCGGCATACCCGCGGTCGCGGCTATGGAATCGCTTCTCGTCGCTTTGCACGCCAACGGCCACGAGATCATCATCATCAGCGACTCCAACAGCATATTCATCGACCGTTGGCTGAGGAGCAAGAAGCTCGAGCACGTCGTATCGCGGATCTTCACGAATCCGGCCCGATACGACGACGATGGCAGGATGAGGGTGGACATGTATCACACGCAGCACACATGTCAGCTGAGCACCGTCAATCTCTGCAAAGGACAGATACTGATGGACTACATCGACGAGAGACGCGAGCAGGGCAAGCGCTACGAGAGAATCATCTACGTCGGCGATGGCAAGAACGATCTCTGCCCGATCCTGCGTCTCTCGCAGAACGACCTGGCGTGTCCGCGCAAGTGTTACGCGCTCATCGAGACGTTGAACAAATTGCCCCGTGACGCATCGACGAAGGCGAAAGTCATACCGTGGGATGACGGTAGGGATTTGCGACGTAGCTTGGAAAAGATCGTAGAGCTTCGCGCGAGCCGGATTGCATGTTAGATTCATCGCTAATCGACTAAAATCGAGAGCTAGATATTCACAGGTGACTAACAAATTATATATACTCGCTTTTTCCTATTTTATATTTTATACCGTTTTGTTCGCGGAGAATTCACCCGAATAAGACTCGCTTTTCGATGAAGATATTAAATAACGAATCCTTTTTCCTCTTCAACGCTATTTATTCCATGTTACATTACAAGGCTGAATACATTACAGGAATATCTGTCTATTTAATTATAAGATATCTTTTGTTACATAAATAATAAAAAATCGATTATACATCGTTTTATCCGATCAAAAGCATAATATCGCTAGAAGTTGTCTCGGAAATCACTTGTATATATAAGTGTGTCGAATTTTTTAAAGTAAAACGAGTCTGTTTCTTGATTGATAAATTTAGTAAAAACTCTAAGGAAACGTTATCGATTCTATAAATCTTTTTATTTATCGTAAATGGAACGGTGTACGCCTTACAAATTTAAATCAAAAGTGCAAGCATCGCGCGACACGCAGGGACAAATGTCGGTGTGCAATTACGTAAGTTGCGCGCGCATCGCTGGGATTAGGCTAGGTCGTCGAGTCTGTGACGTGCGCACAGTGTTCGCGTCTTTGACGTTAATTCATCGTGTTACATCGTTATTATCATCGCGAGCGTCGACGTAGATAAAGAAAATATCACACGGGCTCGTTCCTCGGAAGTTGCGAGAATCAGCGGAGTTTTGTCAAGCACGCGTTTTCGAAATAGCGGATATCTCGGACCACTCTCTCCCCAACGATCGTCGACTATTGTCTATACAGCGAATGTGGAACTTTTACTCACGATAAGCGATAAGCGATAAGTGCACAGTAAGCGAACACTCTACTTACGAATTAATATTCGTTTTGTATAACGGAACACACATTTCCGTAACAATATCGATAGCTATTTACCGTACTGAACGCGAAATACTCGTATTGATGTCGCGTCTTTTTTTTCTTTTTTTTTTTTTCTTTTTTCTTAGACCTAATTGCAAAATGCGTTTATCTAATTGCTAATGTAGAATCTTGTGTGATAAGAGCACGGAGTTTTCTCTCGCCCGCATTGCTGTCAAAAGATATGTATTGAAAGCATCGCGTTTATGGATGTTTATGAATATATAATTCACTACTAATCATGATTACTATTATTGTTTATTTTATTAATATTTGAATATATTGAATAATGGAACTATATGTATTGAGAGCATGCATTTATTCAACTGGACGTATCCTATTGTCTTTCGTTTTAGCATCGCTACAAATCTCTTGAATTTTTATTATATACATATTGAGGATGTTTCTTACGATACCAAAAGAAATTGCGCTTAGAAATGTTGTATCGGTTAACCATTGAGGCGCACGGATACATGAGAATACTCTCAGTAGAGTTCCTAAGAACATCGGTGTCCACAGAATTATGCATAGAATCATAGATAATTTGATGGTATTAAATATTCTTACCATGCAATCTATTTCTAAGAACAGATTCTCATCTTTTATTTCCATGTTACTTTTGCGGTCCTCTTTTATTGTCTCTATATCTGACCTGCTACTATGATCGATCCTTACTTCCTGTGACGTGTTGGATCCCTCCATTGAATCATCATGACGATTTTCTTTATCATCTGTGGATAGCCGTGGAGATACATTGATGATTGTTGTATTATTGTCCTCGCTTGAGTTGTTGCGAAGCAAAGTAGATGCAACATCAGTTTTTGTTCTTAATATCGCGCGCGTACTCTTACACATGTGCTTTCCTCGCATTTGCAGGATACAGAATAACAGAATTGAGAGAAGATATATCGCAAAGAATAATACAAACAGGTACAATTGTAAGAATTTGGTTGAAACCAGGCATTCGTTGATCATGTGTCGCGTTCCATTTTTCATTTCTATATTGATGTAATGATTAAAATCATCATTTTTACTAGAAAATAGATTCATGATTGAATTCGGCTTTCTCTTCGGGACGTAGTCCAAACTCCAATTTGGCTGCTGCTTTGCGCTATCGTGTCGATTTATCGTGCGATTGTAATTTTTTATTGCAGTTTGAATACGTTTCATTATATTGTTGTATATTTGATTATTGGAAACTGATGTTTTATTTTGCATGATGGCAATATTGCCAGTTTTCTGATTCATCTTCTGATTCTCTTCTGTACTTGCAGGATACAGCTGCGCATCCTCTTGATAGCTGTCATCCTTATCCAGGGTATCATATACATCACTCGAGCTCTTGAATGTAGTTACATCCGATTGCTCCGACGTATTCTTCAACAAATCATGAAATAACGATGCTTGCAGATCTCGATTGGAGTCTCTACTATTATTTGTGTTTGAGTATGCATCGTCGATACTCACATTTTGCTCCGTTAATGTATCATTTAGTCTTTTAGTAACGTTATCAGTATTTATATTATATTTGATATAGTTCATTATATTATTTGCTGCCACATAATCCGCCATACTTTGTGATCCGGAAGTCGCGACAAAATTTACGTTTTTTATATTTTCTGAAGAATTGCCTGTATAATTTAACACACTGTTAACGATTTTCTGAACTTTAAGGACTATCTCGTCTACTTCCGCGCTGCTTGGTTTTATCTTGCTTGATAACTTCTGGTTAAGATATTTATTTCCCACTGGTGTCGTGTATATCATAGAGTCGGCAATCTTTAAATTATCTTCAACGTCTGAGAATATATAAAAATCATTCATTGGAAAATTACTGTCGAATACGCATTCGGTATTCTCTGTATATCGAATAGTATTCATATCGTTGTATTCGGCAAAGTATAAAATAGCTACAACGAGGAACGGTACGAGCCAATGACTCGTAACGAAGAACTTGGCCGGCTTGTCTCCCTTAGATGTGATTTGATATTTGAAAATTTTCATAATTCTTTGCAAGAAGCTGCTCTGGTTCTTCACATTATCAATATTATCTTGTTGAAACGCTGGTTCTTGTCCATCTTCCGATATTTTTCTTTCCCGATATGTAACTTTAACATCCTTCGGCTTTAGCTGAATATCGTTCACTAGTGATTTCATTATATCGGTGCATCTTTGTTTCATGCACGCTGCGGTGAGATTGCACTGTAAAGTAAGAGTCAGTAAGGATACAAATGCGTTTGTCAATGCAGCAAGTAATATCCCGTACTGCATAAATATATCTTTCATGTCGCATGTTAAAGTTACATCGAGATCAGCCTCGCGTAGATTACGAATCTGCAAGAATGGAAATTGATAGTTCTTTTCCTCTTCGATTGTCCATGTGCGATTGAGCATATCGCCCAATGTATTGTTCTGCCAGTTATAGCTCAATCGTATCCCAGCTTCGATGCGATTCACGAGCAGTATAATAGCTGTTAATATAGTACTGAAGACGTCGGAAGTTGATAAAATGTAGAAGGGTGATTTATTTTTTTTGCTGCATATTTTTCGCAGCAAAAACACAAACGTAATGAGACTAGACAACAACAAAACGTATCCTGTTACTGCTAGTACAGTAGGATGCATATTGCGATAGTGAATTGTCTCTGATTAAAAATACCTTTCTGCTCTCTCCCTCTCTATTCACTAAAAATTATATCGTTTATATCAATCATTACTGAAACTCACTACCGCATCTTAAGATCGATAGAAATAGACTGAATAAAGATTGAATATGCATTTGTTAATATATGTATATATATGGGTACTCTATATATGTGGGTACCCAGTTTTAGTATACCTGATGTAGATTGAAGCGTACTGTGCTAACAGCACATGAGGGTACAGAATACTTATCAATTTAACGGCGAGTGACGGTTCAGTGAATCGTGTTGTTAGAATACACATGAATTTTTGATATTATTTATTTTATATAAATTACACGAAATTTGTTAAAATAAGATATTACACATACTACATAGTATAAATAGAAGTATAATATATTTAATGAAAGTTTTTATTTTACATAAATATCAGGTCAAACTCTTGATCGGGACTGAAATCAACACTATATATTTATATGATAACTTATTCGAATTTTATCTCTTTTTCAAATTATTTTCAGTTATTTCCAGCGACCTTCTTTGCTAAATTAATTGTTCAGATACGATATATGTGAAACAACGCGCCGATTAAGGATTTTGTTTTTTGTATATGTAATTTGCAGATAATTTAAGCGAGAGTATTTTGAAATTTATGAAATAAACAGCATACATATTATACTAATATAATTGGTATAAATTGTTTTTTGTTGTAGTTCAATATGTCTGTACGTCGCAAAAGCGATTCGTCTATGACTCAGAGGATCTGGGACACAATCAAAACCACGGTACATCAGAGAAGCTTACCTAGTAATGACCGTATGGTACGGCATTTGGCTCGAGTTTACGGCTTTACAGAACAAGAAGCTCAAGATGAACTCAACAAGGCGGTCGAGGATGGTCTTGTCCTATTGAAGAAAGTGCCTACGAAAAACGGCATCGAGCAGGAGAGTTACAGATTCCCTCCAATAGGCACAACGGAGAACGATAGCCACGATTGGTACTGTTGCAAGTGCCACCGAGCAGGTGCAGTCGAATGCTGTGAGCAGTGTCACAGAGTCTATCACCCGGAATGCCACGCATCCAGTAATGCGAAATTAAAGATTTGTAACTTTTGCGAGGTAAGAATTGCGCTCTTTTTTTGACACGTATCCTGCTAACTGATGATACGATTATTGAAAGTACGAACAATTCTGTTGTTTTAGAAAATAAACAGCGATGTATATTCTGATAAGAACGATCTCAATCACATTCTTGGTTTCACGTGTGGTCATTTGAAAGCTAAATTACCGCCAGAAATCACAAATCGTACCATCGTCTTCAACAATGATCCGATTGTTACACCGGCCAACGGTTTCTCCGGACCAACCTGGGTAAGCGAGGGCGAAGACGCGTGGCGGCCAGGAATTCTAATAAAACATCACATGGATTTAGCGATAATGGACGCGAAGACGAGCAAAAATGAATACAATAATCTTGCCGAATTTGAGGCTGACGCACACAATATTCTACATAACATCATAATATATCATGGAGGTAGGAGATAAGCTTAACGCGCATTTTTTTTCTTTCGGAAGCATATCTTATATATATTTTATATCATCTTGTCACTCTGGCAGGTCACAGTGTAATAGGAGAAATGGGCCGCGTAATGTATCAGGACTGTTGTTACGATCTTCAAGAAATTCGTCGCTGCGCGGATTGCTATCGTATATCGAACGAAAAGTCCGAAAAGATGTGGTTCTGTATACCGTGTAATCCACCTCACCAATTGGTTTATGCGAAGCAAAAAGGATACCCGTATTGGCCCGCGAAAGTCATGCAAGTTAATGGCAATGTATATGACGTGCGCTTTTTCGGAGGTCATCACATGAGAGCTAACATTGAAAAAGTCTTTATTCGGCCAATTTCTACCACTTTACAAAGTTTACAGGTAAATGCAAGTTTCTTTTATTTTATTTTATATTATTGTAAAAATATTTGGGCTTTCTTAGAGTTTACCGTTAACATGAATCTTTATAAAAAATCAATTTAAAAATAATTACATTTATTTTCGGAAACAAGAATGTGAAAAAAATAAAGATGTATATATAGAACAATCGAAAGTATGCAACAAATCTTTATTCACAGCACTTGATCTCATAATTAAGAAAGAAGTATTTATTTATCGTCTTATCAAAAGCACTATCCTATAGGTAAAAAAATCAACAGCTTGGAACAGAGCTTTCGACGAGCTAAAGCATCATCAAAACTTGCTACAAAAGTTGGGAAAAAACAAGGAAGATTCGAATATTACAGATGATTCTCCACCTGCAAAGATACCGAAATTGGAATCGTCGAGTTCGAGGAGTACATCGCATAGTAATCCAAACCAATTAATGAAGGACTTGAGAGTGAGAGTCGAACGGTTAAGCTCGGATGGCAACACCGAGTCGCAGACACCAAACGATGGGTCGGATAATAAAGAAGACGCTTCGGAAAATAACGCCGAGAACGAAGAAAGACAGGTACCTTGTTTACCAGTAGCAGAAGACGAACCTGCTAGAGGGATAACGAGCACGTGCCCGCAAGGTTTGAAGAAAGAGGGTTCGCAAGAAGATATGGTCACGTCTAGTTGTCAAGAACCGAGATCGAAATGCGTTCTTGTTCAAACAGAACAGATTCAAACGGATGGGCTTCCCGCTAAGGTAAATTTTTAGCCAAGTATCTAATTCACTTACACGCGTTATGACATTATCCGATTACTTTTTTGACAACTCTAAATTTGCAGATCAAGAGGGAACGCAGAACTTCAGAACAACCGACGACAACGGCGTTAGAAAAATTACGCCGCGAGTTAGAAACTGAAAAATGTAGAGAACTGGAAAGATTACAAGCGGAGCATGCGATAGAAGTGCGACAATTGACCGATAGGCACTTACAACTTGTGTCTGACATCAAAAAGAAACAATGGGTAATTTTCTTTTGTCTTTCCGAAATTTATTATTACTATATTCTTTTTATTAACATATTACTCGTTTTATTAAACATATACCATTTATTTTAGTGTTACAATTGCGAAGCTGAGGCAATATATCATTGTTGTTGGAATACCGCGTACTGCAGCACAGACTGTCAACAGGTTCATTGGCAACGTGAACATAAAAGAGTATGCAGACGTAAACGTTAATTTACATAACAAATGTGCAATGAGTACAATAATATAAATAAGCAAAAGAAAAACAGATAAACAAGAAGAGAAACACATTTTATATATATGAAGGCATAAATAATTTTTATAGTGTACAAGAATGCGTTTATCTCCCTCTTGTTGTCTGTTTAAAGTTCGAACTTTGGAACGTTTGAACGTTTTCTTGCAACTACTATTATATATAATATATGTATGAATGCATATATACAAAATGTCCCTATACTACTTCGATTATTAAAGATAAAGATGAACAAAATATCATTTTTCCAAATAAATTTTATAAAGTTGTGAAAAATAAATAATATAATTGTATCTGTTTCAATAAAGACTCTGCACATAAATAAAAGTGCATCGCACTTGTAAATTATATGTATACATACATATATAAAAGAATAGTCTGTAGAAGCACATTAATATATTCTTGACACCCGTTCAATATGCCTTTGCAAACTTCCTCTGTAAGCGGAAGAAATGTTATGTGTATACGCAAATCTTAAAGAATATTTTTAATTGTATCAAGCGGCAAGACAGAATAATTTTTAAATAATCATAGTTTTGTACATTGATATTTGTGTAAAATGAAATTTATTGCTCTTACTGGTCCAGTGTTTACCATCGATTGCAGGGAAAAAAAGAAAGTTCCAGAGAGAAATAGTTACAATTACAATATCATATATGCAGAAGTGATTCATAAGATATATTAGATAGATTCTAAATTATCTGACCTATTATTTTTCTAGATGCATAAAGTTTTTATTCCATATGTGAGATAATATGGTATTAACAAATTTTAACTAAATGTATACATGTCAATATGAACAAATGTGTATCTTTTTCATTTAGTATCAATAATTTATTTTGATATATTATCTGCTTATAATTCTCTAAGAATTTTAATTCTTTTCAGATTTAAATACAATTTTCGTAGAACAAAATGATATAGAAAAGTCATATAAAAAACATCAATATATTTATTTTATAATTCATGTAACAGAACAATTTTCTGAACAATATACGACATATGAGATGCATTACATATAAGTTGCATCTAATGCTTTATACTATAAAATCTAATTTCTTATAAATGTTGCATTAAATAATTACAGTAAATACTTATAAGCAATATAAAATAATACACACACATATCTTTTTCAAAATTGCATAAGAATTTCTGAATTATATATACATATATATTATTTATATCTGATAAAAATTTTATGTGATAATATATGTATAGAGAGCCTCTATTTTAATAACAATCATAATATTACTGTTGCATTAAAACTAAATTCATAAATAATTTGGAATGTTTGATTCTATAAATATATATATATATGTATTTAGCATATAGAATTCACAATAATGTAAATTATTGTTTTGAGTATTGACAATATCAAGTAATATCAAAATTGTACAAATTACATCAATTTGGAGCAAAGAAGAACAATATAAAGAATTTAATATAAAAGACCATATTATGTGCATTATTCTCAATAGCTTTAAAAAATCATAGTGACAAATTAAAAATAATATGGCCGATTGTAATAATAGTTACATTATAATTAATCACAGTCACATGGCTCTGTTATAGTTCAAGTATCTTGCGTAGCTCTGACTTCCTTGCAGACTACATCTAGAGCCATTTTACCCTCTTTCGCTGTTTCAGTAACTTGTACATACCTGGTGGTATCTACATTATTTAAGGATAATCGCTCTAACAACTGTAATTCAGATGGTTCCAACTTTTCTCCAAGTTGCCTCAAAGCGCTTAATATTTCCCCACGTTGGCGATCAGCGGCCTCTTTGTTTAATTTTCCTAGTTTTACGTCACGATCGATTTGGGATAGACGTTCCTTAAGTCCAGTAGGCTCACGCTTACCAAACATTCTTATTACAGCTGGTGTTTGAAAGGCTGCACTGATAGCTGCTTGAGTTGCCTATAAAAAATAGAGAAATATACATATTACAATATATTGCTTCACATGTTTAGATAAAGAAAACGTATAATACATACTAATTGCATTGCTCCAAGTTCATTAACTAATGTCATATCTCCAGATATCATTCTTTGTAGACTCTCGTTAAACTCGCGGAGCTGTTCCATTGTATCTTCCTTAGCTTCCTGATAGTCTGTTTCGTCGAGAGTAACTCTGTTCAAGAGAAACAGTCATATAGTTTATATTTTACAGAGTGTATACGATAAATCGACGAATCGCTCGAAGAGACTTTTATATTTCTTGAAAATATGTAAAACAAAACCTGCAGTCTTCCAAATCTTCCAATTGTTGTACAAGCCGATCCAATTGTTCTTCCAAATTCTTTCTGAGCCTGTCGGTCTCTGCTTTTCCATGAGAACTCATCTTTGATGAGTCGAATGACAAAAACGTACAAACGTAGAGAAACAAGGGAAGAAAACAATTGTACAGGTTATGTCAAAAATGCCGATACGTAATAAATGTATGTATAATTTCGTGCTTATCAAATAATATAAATTTGCGAGATTTGACTACTTTAAACGCAGAGAATTCTTTCTCACTCGTCATTTATATTCTAGCATACTTTGCAATGTCGCACAATTCACTGTAATAAAGTGACATAGAAAATATTTATAACGCAAGAATCGCGCGCGCAAATATAATTTTATGATATTAACCTTAACCTATAAGAGCGTTAGATAAGATGATTTTAATAGAAGTTTCTGAAAATATTTGGCGTAGACAATAATGTCAAATAATTCAAATTGCGTTTAAAACATTTACAAGTAACACAATTATATTTTATAACAAAATTAAATTCAAAACGCTCCCTGTAATAGAGGGAAAACTTGATTGAAAGTTCTGTTTTTAATTATTTAAATATTTTTTATTCTGATATCATGCATTAATAATATTAATTTCCATTATATATAAAGTCATCTAGCATTACAAAAGTTGTAACATCATTTCAAATTTGTTATAAAAGTTTGATCGACCAATCAAAGAAATCTTTCGTCAAAGAAATCGATTAGTCAATCAAATGGTGCTCCGATGAATAATTTTCGAATTTTAGATACATAGGGTCTGTTCTTTATAGCTGAACTGGCTGCACTAGTTCAGAGTTTATCTTTTTCTCTCCCCATTGAAAGGAGAAAGATAAGCTCTGAACTAGTGCAGCCAGTTCAGCTATAAAGAACAGACCCTATGTATCTAAAATTCGAAAATTATTCATCGGAGCACCATTTGATTGACTAATCGATTTCTTTGACGAAAGATTTCTTTGATTGGTCGATCAAACTTTTATAACAAATTTGAAATGATGTTACAACTTTTGTAATGCTAGATGACTTTATATATAATGGAAATTAATATTATTAATGCATGATATCAGAATAAAAAATATTTAAATAATTAAAAACAGAACTTTCAATCAAGTTTTCCCTCTATTACAGGGAGCGTTTTGAATTTAATTTTGTTATAAAATATAATTGTGTTACTTGTAAATGTTTTAAACGCAATTTGAATTATTTGACATTATTGTCTACGCCAAATATTTTCAGAAACTTCTATTAAAATCATCTTATCTAACGCTCTTATAGGTTAAGGTTAATATCATAAAATTATATTTGCGCGCGCGATTCTTGCGTTATAAATATTTTCTATGTCACTTTATTACAGTGAATTGTGCGACATTGCAAAGTATGCTAGAATATAAATGACGAGTGAGAAAGAATTCTCTGCGTTTAAAGTAGTCAAATCTCGCAAATTTATATTATTTGATAAGCACGAAATTATACATACATTTATTACGTATCGGCATTTTTGACATAACCTGTACAATTGTTTTCTTCCCTTGTTTCTCTACGTTTGTACGTTTTTGTCATTCGACTCATCAAAGATGAGTTCTCATGGAAAAGCAGAGACCGACAGGCTCAGAAAGAATTTGGAAGAACAATTGGATCGGCTTGTACAACAATTGGAAGATTTGGAAGACTGCAGGTTTTGTTTTACATATTTTCAAGAAATATAAAAGTCTCTTCGAGCGATTCGTCGATTTATCGTATACACTCTGTAAAATATAAACTATATGACTGTTTCTCTTGAACAGAGTTACTCTCGACGAAACAGACTATCAGGAAGCTAAGGAAGATACAATGGAACAGCTCCGCGAGTTTAACGAGAGTCTACAAAGAATGATATCTGGAGATATGACATTAGTTAATGAACTTGGAGCAATGCAATTAGTATGTATTATACGTTTTCTTTATCTAAACATGTGAAGCAATATATTGTAATATGTATATTTCTCTATTTTTTATAGGCAACTCAAGCAGCTATCAGTGCAGCCTTTCAAACACCAGCTGTAATAAGAATGTTTGGTAAGCGTGAGCCTACTGGACTTAAGGAACGTCTATCCCAAATCGATCGTGACGTAAAACTAGGAAAATTAAACAAAGAGGCCGCTGATCGCCAACGTGGGGAAATATTAAGCGCTTTGAGGCAACTTGGAGAAAAGTTGGAACCATCTGAATTACAGTTGTTAGAGCGATTATCCTTAAATAATGTAGATACCACCAGGTATGTACAAGTTACTGAAACAGCGAAAGAGGGTAAAATGGCTCTAGATGTAGTCTGCAAGGAAGTCAGAGCTACGCAAGATACTTGAACTATAACAGAGCCATGTGACTGTGATTAATTATAATGTAACTATTATTACAATCGGCCATATTATTTTTAATTTGTCACTATGATTTTTTAAAGCTATTGAGAATAATGCACATAATATGGTCTTTTATATTAAATTTCCCCATTGAAAGGAGAAAGATAAGCTCTGAACTAGTGCAGCCAGTTCAGCTATAAAGAACAGATCTATATAACTAGTTGGTCGGATGCGCCCGATTGGCTGCCGAATATAGAAATTTCTAGGGTCTCGGCAGCCAATCAGTACGTTCGACGAGCTCGTCGCACGACCAATGGGATATTAGAGCGATTCAAATCCCATGTTTACGATCGATCTCACGTACTTACATCCCGCCCGCATTGTAACCGGTGAGTTCGTGTGAGACGCATGTGTCGGCGGTACATATAAATTGATATAAATTGTCAGGGAATCGTTGAAGGGAAGTGGGATTTGTTTTCTAGTATCTGCAGCTCTCGACGGCGTGCAAAACGCCAAAAGCTACGGTATATCCCGGAGTATCTCTACAAAGGTCGCGACGGTACGAGCGAGCGGTCGAATACGTGCGTGTGATTTAGCGGCGCCCGCTTTACACGTTTCAACATTCGTAGGACAGACGTGAGCTCGTTGTTAGGCAAGCTCGTGATACGAGATAGCACGATATATAGACATATTTATCCGCGCTACGAGTCTCGGTTAGCGCGTGCCTCTCGTCGCGTGGCCAGCGATCGCGCCAAGTGAGCACAATCGCAACGCGGTGAGGATCCTCTTCTCGCGTGGATAACTCCTCGAGCACGATTGAGGTCCCGCCGAAGATCCATCGCGGACGCAGGACGACGACGAGAAAGAAGCGAGCGAAGACGTAATCGCGAGCCCGCGCGTATTACACACGCGGGCCCACAACATCGCCCCCTCCCCTCCCATCCGTTCCTCCTCCTCCTCTTCCTCCTCCTCTTCCCCCATCGATAGTTGTGCAGATCGCACGATCCGAACGCGTGACGGCTACAGATATATATATATATATATATATATATACACACGATATCCTGCCTCGAGAAGACGTCGTGTGTCCCGCGTGTATAATTCCGACACACCGTCGTGGCGACCCGGCAAAACACGTGGAGAAAATAGCGCGTACCTATGAGTGCGAACCGCATAAGACGGCAGGCTTCTAAGGACAGTTCGCACAAGGGAGGCCCACGCCTGCGATGAGCATGCCGACGAAGGGGAACAAACACCACCACCTGTCCCATCATCATCATCAGCAGCAACACCATCCGCCGCAACAGCAGCAGCAACAACCGCCGCCGCCTCCCGCGCCACAGCAACAGCAGGCCCATCACGCATCGTCGCATCAGCATCAAATTATCCTCAATCAGGCCGTCGTGCATTCCCCGCAGACTTACAGCGCTGTCGTGACCACGAACACCCGCTTCTTGAATACCGGTAAGTCCTCAGTCTCGCTTAATTATTTTGCTATTTAGGTTATTTTCTCTCTCTCTCTCTCTCGCATATTTTTTTTTATTCTTTTGCAACTCGCAAGGAGTCATGTCTATATTACTCTCGTTTCATCGGGTTAATTAAACGAGCATTGATACGTGTATCTAGATATATATATTTAATCGTTAAGAATGCACGAGTATCGTGTCTACGATCCTCTCTCTCCCCTCCTGCTCCTCCTCTCCCCGCCCACAATGATGTTACCTGTCGCGCGTGCATTTCGCGGAAAAGTGTTATTTGAGGTTAGGACGACACCACGCGGCATGTGACTATGCGTGCCGCGAGAAAACGGGAACGACGTCCTTCGTCGCGTGTTTTTCTTCTTTTCCTCTCCATTTATTTTTCCCTGTCCGCGAAACACGACTAACCTATATCCGCCGAGGGATGCGATTTCTTTTCCTACGCGGAGGAGGCTCTCCGATCGAGATAAAAGGGGGGAAAAAAGAAAATGGAGAGAGAGAGAGAGGACACGCTGTAATTTTATGCGCGTACATACGTATCTCGCGGGCCTCCGGTGGCTCAGTGTGTAGCGCGCCTGACTCACATCCCGGAGATCTCGGGTTCGATTCCCGACTCAACCCTGGCCTGCGCTTTCCCATTTTTCATTTCCTACCACCTCCCAACAAAAATTCCTTCCTTCTCTCTCTTCTCTTCTTCCAGTATATACGCATAAAAACTGAATTTACACTCTAATATAACCTGTTGTTGGCCCGAATACATGACCCACCCCAGATCATTACGGCCATTTAAATATTAAGAATACAATACGTATCTCGCGACGAAGGAAGAGGACGGCATTTGCATTTTCGTTTCGCGAAGCCGCTCATTTTTCCCATCTCGCCCACTGCGATATGCGTATTGTGGATCTATATGAAGGCGAAACTACATGTACACAATTTGCCCAGCGATATATCGGCCACGCCGAAGTTCGACAACTCGGTCGTGCAAGTAGAACAGCGTAGCACAATGCTCTTTTCCTGGCTTCCGTAATCTCGTTAAAGCGGTTTCTCGCGGTTAGTAGTAGTGGTAAGGTAGTAGTTATCGAGTAGCACTTATCAATAGGAGGCAACATCTATCGATACGAGAAACTCGCTGGAAATATATCGTCAATCGAAGGTTGTTTTTATTATACATATTTATTTAGGCCTATTTATACTTTTTCCCATCTCGCCCACTGCGATATGCGTATTGTGGATCTATATGAAGGCGAAACTACATGTATACATACAATTTGCCCGGCGATATATCGGCCACGCCGAAGTTCGACAACTCGGTCGTGCAAGTAGAACAGCGTAGCACAATGCTCTTTTCCTGGCTTCCGTAATCTCGTTAAAGCGGTTTCTCGCGGTTAGTAGTAGTGGTAAGGTAGTAGTTATCGAGTAGCACTTATCAATAGGAGGCAACATCTATCGATACGAGAAACTCGCTGGAAATATATCGTCAATCGAAGGTTGTTTTTATTATACATATTTATTTAGGCCTATTTATACTGCATTGCGTATATCTTATATCGAGGAAGGAAATAAAAATGTCTACGCATATACAAAAAGATCTTATCTAAAAGATATCGGTGAGATATTATACGCATCTCGAAAAAGCGTTTATGATATATTAGGGAATAAGAATTTTCTATTATTAATCGAGTCGGGAGTCGAATCGCGATAGCGCAGAGATTCCGCTCTCGACTCCTATTGCTTTCACTTTCCGTCTTGGCTCTCTAATACAGAAATCGCGTCGCAGTATACTTTATCGAGGCGATCGGCCGCTTATCAGCGTCGCATTCGGCCTCGTATCGACGAGAGAGATTGCGGGAGAGTTCTTCCCCGGAGGTTCCTCTCCCCGCGTGTACTCTCCTCCGTCTCGAGGTCTCGCGAGACCCGCGGACTTTTGGCCGCGCGAAATAAACGGACCGGGTAACAAGCGGAGCAAGCGTGCGCGAGAAGAGGTGGTGGGCGAGGGGAGGCGCGGGTTACGATTGGCCGGCACCGACGTGCAACAAACTGTTGAATCGCGCCTATTAAAAGGGGAGGTGGGAGATTGACAGAGGAGCTTCCTGCGTGCGTGTGCGAGTCGCGACGTAGCTATCAACCGTCAATAATCGAATACCTGCCCGGTCCCGGGAAAGCGCATATGCCTTCGATATATATGTATATATATATAAGAACAGTATGTCTGCACGTCAGGGATAATTTTGCCGAATAAGAATATACCGTTAAGAATTTCACCGAATACACCGTTTTCATCTTGTACCTGAAAGCACGTCCCGCATGCAGCGACATTCTTTTCTCCCTGTATATAGAATTGTTCCGAGAGTATGGAATGTTGTAAGGAATCGTAGGGGTTATTGTAATGCATATTTTCTATTATCCGTCCTTTGAAGAAAATGGATTTGAAGAGATTTAAAAAGAATTTTGTGCTTTAAAGTATTTAAAAATACGTACTTTAAGACTTAAGAGAAAGATTTAAAAATAAGATCAGAATCGTCGTGAATATTTTGTTTTTAGCAGAGAGAATATATTAAAAAAATTATTCATCGTTAGACTCATCGTTGAGAGTCATTAAAGAAATTTTAATAGCTTACGTGAATTTATAGGAATATGTTAATATATAGGAGATACGATAAAATCGTGTATTTTTATTCTACATAATAATTAGGATAACAGGAAGGAGATTAACGGGCGATTAATTTTATTTCGAAATTCCGCTGCACAATTATAGAAACGTGCGTTTCATCAAAATTAGGTTTCCGAGGCAGTAATAATGTATCGCCTCTATTTCACAAGAACGCTTTCTCTCTCTCTCTCTCTCTTTTGAAATTTTTGTGAAACCGTCCGCACGCATTCCAAAAAAGAATCCGAACGGTCGAGAGGCATTTCTGGGAAAGGTTCTCTTTTTCTTTTTTTTTTCCCCCGGAAAAGCGCAGCGCGAAGAAAAGGAGCGACGATAGACGAGAAACATAACGACGACGACGACGAAAAGGTCGGTGTCGTGGAGAGAAGAAACACCGCAGGGATAAGACGTAAGAAGGCCGAAGTCTCGCGAGCCCGACCGAACGGGCCGCTTCGGCTGGTACATGTGGCAATCGGCCGCCGTGCGGTATAGTCGGCCGACAGGCCTCATTGTCATTCCTTCTCTCTCGCGTTGTCGAGCGTATATCGTTAACGCCGTCGAGTTGTACGATTGTCGCAGTGCGAGCCGTGTCGAAAGCGTTATACTCTCGATTTTTTTTTTTCTTTTTTGTTTCCTTGTCGAAGGCGCTTAACGTTGGCGCGCGCGTGACCAGGTGTCCGGTCGCTACTAACGCGCCCGAAAACGTCGACGCTCGCGAAAACGCGCGACGGGAAAGGGAGTGAGAGGGAGGGGGGGAGAGAGAGAGAGAGAGAGTGGCACCGTCGTCGTCTCTCCGATCAGTTCCCCGCACACAGCGGAGGTTATATAATTTCTTTCGAAGCGTTCTCCTTCGCGTCTGTGGTTTATAAACGTACCGTAACATATCGCGCAAAGTCAACATCGGGTTGATCACGCGCGCGAGGTATAATTTTCTCATTTCCACTCGTCTCCCTTTTCCATCGCGCTTTCTCTCTCTCTCTCTCTCTCTCTCTCTCTCTCTCTCGACACAC